AATTTATATGATTCCTCTACAAAACTTTCTGGATTGGCTCAACAGGAAGTTTTTCCTTCATCTCTAATTTCCTATAGTAATTTATATATCGCTCATACTCTTGAATTATATAATCAAAGTGTTATTTTTCTTGATTGTTACAAAGGTTTATTTTAACAAAAAGTTTAAAATGAAAATACACATGATCCAGTTTTTAACACAGAAAAACAGGCCCTTTAGGGAAGGGACATAGATTGCTCTGAACAGCCATTATTTATACTCCATCCAAAACTTCTTGTAAGTTGATACTATTTCCTTGAATTACCAGCATTCCAATATTGTTATCTTACCTATAAGTTGCCATATTCACACATTTATCTATCACAAAACTTAAGGAATCAAATATCCACAGTATTCCTTAGACATGTCTGCCACTGTTTTATTTAAATGATAAATTCTTTTCTATTAATTTTTCAGCTTGAAAGGCTAAACTTTACTTATGGTCAACAGTGTAATTATTATGAGTCCTACTGTCTGAGTTTGATTCCTGGCATCATCATTGAATAGCTGTGTAATTTGGGACAAATGACTTACTCTTTCTTATACTTAGTTTCCTTGTCTCTTACATGAGGACGGTCGTACTAGCTGCCTCTTTATTATGAAGATTAATAATTGTAAAGCTCTTAGAACATGCAATTTTCTCCTACTAAATCATAAGATCCTTAGGAATAGGAACCTATTTCTATTAGCATACCCAACATAGTCCATACTTATAGTTCAGAATTTGATTTTGGAAGGAATTTTTTGAATGGTGAATACTCTGTGCTGGGCATGGTAACTTGTGTCTGTAATCGCAGCAATTTGGGAGACTGAGGCAGAGGGTCAGAAGTTTGAAGCTAGCCTGGGTAATGTAATGAATTCCCCATCTCAAAAAATTCTCTATTTGTAAGTTAGCTATGAAGTTTGAGAAACCAGTTGAATATTACTGTATGTTTTCTTTTTTCTTTCCTTTTCCGTACCAGGAATTGAACCCAGGGGCAGTTAACCACTGAGTCACATCCCCAGCCCTTTTTTATTTTTTTTTTATTTTGAGGCAGGGTCTTGATAAGGATAGCTTTGAACTTGAAATCTTTCTGCCTCAGCCTCCCAATCCCTGGGATTATATGCATGCACCACTGTACCTGGCTTTTACATATATTTTTTTACCTACAGTGGTACTCAGACTCCAGTATAGGACTAAGTGCTTGCTAGATAGCTTGGTGATGCCGAACCTTAATAATTTCAGTGAGAATGGCTATAATAATGTGGGATAAAAAGAGTAAGAGAACGGGGGATAGAAATGGGAAGAAGTAGTCAATAGGCAATAAAGCACTCTGTTGTGAATATTAGTACAATATTTAGGCTCCAAAAACACTTAGTGAAAGTTATAAATAGTCCCAGTAGCAGTCAAGGCTAGTCACCATCCAAGCAGTGTCATTTTTTGTTTTCTTTGAGTTGCCTCAAAGTCTAAGGCATTTCTGTGAGTAGAAAGCAGTTAACAGGGTAAATGGGATATTTGGGGAAAGATCTGCCAATTTTATTGGCTAAGGAGCAAAGGAAAAAGAAAAACTCAATCACTTTCAGGCAACTCAATACCCATTGGTTTTAATTTTAATTGTAGTCTGAGGAATTCCTGAACTGAAAAAAAAAAAAAAAGTCTCCAGAGCAGGAATGGCTTCATCCTGTATGCCTCCTGATGTATGTAGTGGGAAGAATCCCTTAATTTACAGTACTTCTCACAACTAATGAGAAGATTGACAAAGAGAGCCCATTCTCTGCAATGCCTCTTTTGGGGAATGAACAAAAGATGAATGAATTATCTTTGTGATAGTTACATTGTTGGTACTGTGAAGAAAAACATAGCAACTCTGATATTTCTGACTGGCAGCCTCGAAATGTCCTAATTCAAATTAGTTATGTGCCTGTAATCCCAGCAACTTGGGAGGCTGAGGCAGGAGGATGGCAAGCTCAAAGCCAGCCTCAGCAAAAGTGAGATGCTGGGGCTGGGATTGTGGTTCAGTGGTAGAGCACTTGCCTAGCATGCATGAGGCACTGGGTTCGATCCTCAGCACCACATAAATGTAAAATAAAAGATATTGTGTCCACTTAAACCTAAAAAATAAATATTGGGCTGGGGATGTGGCTCAAGTGGTAGTGCGCTCGCCTGGCATGGGTGCGGCCCGGGTTGGATCCTCAGCACCACATACAAACAAAGATGTTGTGTCCGCTGAAAACTAAAAAATAAATATTAAAAGAAAAACTCTCTCTCTCACACTTGCTCTCTCTCGCTCGCTCTCTCTCGCTCTTTTTAAAAAATTAAAAAGAAAAAAGAAAAAAGTGAGATGCTAAGCACTCAGTGAGACCCTGTCTCTAAATAAAATACAAAATAGGGATGGGGATGTGGTTCAGTGGTTGAGTTCAATCCCTGGTTACACCTCTGCCTTCCCCCCAAAAAAAGTTCTGATTCCATCTGTTTATTTAACTTGATTTTCTAATTGAAAATTTTATAATATCACTATCTTTAATGCACCTCTGTTTTAAGCCTTTCAGTGAGATTTATTCTAAGGTTCTTAGCTTCTCTGTAGTGTGTCCCTAAACCCCTGATGTTTCTTTTTTAACCTGTTTTGCAGTCTTTAGACAGTACTTTGAGGAGATGGAGATGCTGATCAGTGGTAGAAAGCTTGCTTAGCATGCATAAGGCCCTGGCTTTATATCTTAGAAGAAAGCATAGAGTGAACACTCTAACATATAGGCATAGGCAATGACTTTCTTGATAGGACCCCTAAAGCCTAGGAAATAATGCCAAGAATTAATAAATGGAACAGCATCAAATTAAAAAGCTTCTACACAGCAAAAGAAGCAATTAAGTATGTGAAGAGAGAACCTACAGAATGGGAGAAAATCTTTGCTAGCTACTCTTCTGAGAGAGGATTAATATCTAGAATATATAAAGAACTCAAAAAACCTAACACCAAAAAAAAAAAACAAAACAAAAAAACAACCAAATAACCCAGTTAATAAATAGGCAAATGAACTAAATAGACACTTCTCAGAACAAATGCAAATGGCCGACAAATATATGAAAAAATGTTCAACATCATTAGCAGTTATGAAAATGCAAATCAAAACTATATTGAGATTTTATGTTAGAATGGCAGTCATCAAGAATACAAATGAGGGGCCTTTGGTTGTAGTCCAGTGGTAGAGTGTTTGCCTAGCATGTGTGAGGCACTGGGTTTGATCCTCTGGACCACATAAAAATAAAATTTAAAAAAATTAAAGGTATTTTTAAAAGTGTTTTTTAAAAATAATACAAATAAGAATAAATGCTGGAGAGGATGTGGGAAAGAACACTTTTACACTCTTTATGGGATTGTAAATAAATATGGAAATCAGTATGGAGGCTCTTCAAAAGACTAGGAATGGAACAACATATGACCCATATGACCATTTCTTGGTATTTTATCCTAAAGACTTAAAGCCAGCATATTATATAGTGATAGTGATACATGCATACCCATGTTTATAGCAGAACAATTCACAATAGCCAAACTGTCCATCAGAGAATGAATAAAGAAAATATGGCATATGTATACAATGGAGTTTTATTCAGCCAGAAATAAATAAAATAAAATTATGTCATTTGCAGGAAATGGATGGAACTCAAAACCATTATGTTAAGCAAAATAAGCCAAACTCAAAAGGTCAAGAGTTGTATGTTTTCTCTCATTTGTAGAAACTAGAGAAGAAAAGGGAAAAGGTGCAGGGTCAGGTCTCCTGAAAATCAAAGGGAGATCAGTGGAAGAGAGGAAAGGGACCAGAATGAGTGAGGATGAAAGAGAAAGAGGAAATTCTGGGGAACAATATTAGCCAAATCATTTTGTGAGCATGTGCAAGTACATAACAATGAATCCTAGCGTTATGTATGACTATGAAGCACCAATAAAAAAATATGGAGGGGGCTGGGGTTGTGGCTCAGTGGTAGAGCTCTCACTTAGCATGTGTGAGGCACTGGGTTCAATCCTCAGCACCACATAAAAATTTGAAAACTTGGGGCTGGGGATGTGGCTCAAGTGGTAACGCGCTTGCCTGGCATGCGCGGGGCGCTGGGTTCGATCTTCAGCACCAGATAAAATAAAATAAAAATGTTGTGTCCACTGAAAACTAAAAATAATAAATATTAAGAAATTCTCATTCTCTCTCTCTCTCTCTCTCTCTCTCTCACTCTGAAAAAATTTGAAAACTGAAAAATATATATTTTTTAAAATATATGGGAAAAGAGGCAGTGTTTTCTGAGTCACTTCATAAGTATTTTATGGATGTTTCCTTTCCTCATGCATGAATTTTTTTGCTCTATTGGTTCCTTTATATTTGGCCTATTAAGAGCTTTCTTTCTCCGTTTTTAATAACTGTGATAGCCAAATATGATTTCTCGTGTTGCATAGTCCTTTTTTTCTTTTTCCTGAAAGTTAAATCACTAATACACTACAGATATGTATATAGTTCATATCCATAGTACAGTGTAACTGCTTTCTCAGAAATTGAGGCACTGGTCTTAATGACTATAGAAGGGATATATAGGAGAATTATAAACATAGTCTCTGCCCTCAAGGAACTTGTAGCCTAGTTAAGAAATCAGAATTAAACATATGAAAAGCAAAACATAGGTAATAGTTCTGGTAGTAGGCCATAAAGGAGTATATTATGTGTTAATTGTATAGACAATGATAACTCTGGAATTAAGAGATTTGCTATTGTCCAGGTTAGTCAAGGAAATTTGAACTTAGTACTGAAAACAAACAAATTTTGGATAAGAGACTAACTCAGATTTCTTGTTGAAGAGTTTCATAGTACTTTGTCCTTTTTTTTCTTAGAATCTTTAAATGAACTCTTCTTATTGTATTTTTTACCTAGTGCACTTATAATAAACTCTTGAAAATAAACTGTATAATAATGCCTTCAATTTTCTGTTTTTGTCATAGGCATCCCGATTTTCAGCTGCTGAAGGAAGGACAAAGGTATGGTTGAATCAGTATCACTTACATTCTCTATAGTGTTCATGTTAATAGAAACGTTAGGAGTGAACCAGGTGATATGAGTGCTTGGACTTCCTGTGCTGATACATTTTAAGTGTCCTATTTTAGCTCACACAAAGAAATATTTGACATGTTCAGCTTTTTTATTTAGTCATGGTAAGATGATGTGTATGATGTGTTTGATCTCTGATTTATTGTACAGCTGTTTCTACTGAGGAGGTCTAATTGAACCTGTTGAAATATGACACAAACACACCCTCCATCTCAGATACTTGGTTTCTTTGTCAGCTAGATTGTACCAATTACATTTGTTGAAAGAATTTTTTGATCTTATAGGATCAAGACATTAATTATCAGTTATTTAATTATTTGAAAGCACTAATATAACTTCTAGGCTGTGATTTTTTTTTTCCCCCTTAAACCCTCCTCATAGGATTGCTTGACCAACCATGGACATCTCTCAAAACATATCCTATAATTCTCAGCATAAATGTTCCTAGTTAATAACCACAGTGTTGAGCACAAGATACTTATTGATGAATGTCTTTATAACTTCAAATTAGTATAGGAAAAAAATTTAATTGCCTTAAAATTCCACAAAAAAGTATGAAATAATATGAAAGTTGATTTTTACTTGTTCTGTTTTTTAAACGTATACTTTTTTCTTATCTAAGAGATGGTCCCCTTGTTATATAGATTAAATTTTAACTAAACATTACATCTATTTTTTTTAAGAGAGAGAGAAAGAAAGCATTTTTAATATTTATTTTTCAGTTTTTGGTAGACACAACATCTTTATTTTATTTTATGTGGTGCTGAGGATTGAACCCAGCGCCCCGCAAATGCCAGGCGAGCGCGTTACCGCTTGAGCCACATCCCCAGCCCTAAACATTACATCTAATATTGAAAAAAATTGCCATTTTTCCCCTATCCATAATCTTGCTTTTAGCTTTTTTTTTCTTTTACACATCTCCAAGGTATGTTTCAAGTTTGTTTTTTTTTTAATAATTATCGACAGACTTTTATTTTATTTATTTATATGCAGTGCTAAGAATTGAACACAGTGCCTCACACATGCTAAGCAAGCACTCTACCACTGAGTTACAACCCCAGGCCCCTAGGTGTGTTTCTTAACCCAAAAACTTTCTCATCTGAATGTGTTAAAAGTTCTGATAGGTATGTTTGCTTGAGAACAACTGTTTACCTATCCTTGTTTGTCTCAAGTTGAATTAGCAAAACTACTCTTTGCCTTTACATTTCCCATATTTCTTTATCTTATTCAACTCTAATCTGAAAATTGGAAAGCAGTAATAAGGAAAACCATTATCTTTTATTGTGAGCATTCCATTGTAACTCTTGATTTTCAAATTTTATCTTATATTGAAATTGTTGATTTTTCAGATTTATGGTCCGCTATGATTTTCTTTTGTTTATTTATGGAATTTTCTGTATGATAACCACATTGGAAAACATTTACTCATCTTTTTTTTATCAGAGTTAACCGAGTTCCTGTAATTATGTTTTTTGAGAACCCAATAATGAAATTTTCAGGAGAAAAACTTATTTTTTTAAAGTTACTAAAACAGTCACAAAAACATTAAGTAAAAATCAAAATAATTCAGTAGAATGGATTTACTAAAAATTTTTTTTTTTCATTTTCCTGGACTCCTTTAACAACTCAAAATTAAGAGGAACAGCCAAAAGGGAGAAAGGTAGAAGGAGAGCTGTTATCAAATACTTATTGATACAAAGAAATGTGGCTTTCTTCTAAAATAAATATATCAGTGTCTGTAAGGTTATGCCTGAGGAATGAAAGTTGCTACCTTGAAAATTACAAAGTAAAAGTATCATGGGACTTTCCTGTTATAATTATTTTGTTTATCTTTCCTTTTACAGTGGCCATTCAGGAGAGGAAGTACAGTTATGCAGTAAAGCCATTAAAACATCAGATATTGATAATCCTGGTCATTTTGAAGAGCAATATGAATCTAGTTCTTCTAGCACTTGTAGTGATTGTACCAGTGATAATGAGCAAGACTTTGTTTCCTCCATTCTACCAGGAAACAAACCAAATGCAATGGGTACAAGGCCACAGTTACACCAAAAAAGCAAAATGAAAAAGCAAGTTGGTGAAAAAGCTAACTCCAAACACAGAGACAAAGAACAGACAGTAGTAGATGTCACTGAGCAGTTAGGCAGTTGCAGATTGGATTGTCAGGAGAAAGCTGCTGATTGTGAATTTCCTTTACAGAAAGTAAATACTCAGATTTCTTCATATAGTCCTTTGCATGAAAGATTAAAAGCTTCAGGAAATTTTGAAAATAAATACATGTCAGAAATAACTTTTGTTGGCATAAGTAAGAAAAGTGCTGAGCATTTTAAGACCAAATTTGCCAAATCAAACCAAATTTCTAAGTCAGCCTCTAGTTGCATGCAGATGTGTCCTGAAGTTGCAAAGACAAACTTACTTAAAATTCTAAAACAGACTTTGATTGAATGGAAGACAGAAGAAACTTTGAAGTTTTTGTATGGCCAGAATTATGCTTCTGTGTGTCTGAAACCCTCTCCAGCCTCTCTGGTTAATGAAGAACTTGATGAAGATGACATAAACTCTCACCCAGATAGCCATTCCCCTGTTTTGGTGGAATCTCAGAATAGCCTGGATGAATCTTTACCTTTCAGGGGCTCAAATGCAGCCGTTAAACCACTGCCAAGTTATGAGAACTTGAAAAAAGAAACTGAAACATTAAATCTAAGGATCAGGGAATTTTATAGAGGACGATATGTTTTGAATGAAGAAACCACCAAATCACAAGACTTGGAAGAGGTATGTCTTAATGATAAGTGTCAAAATAATGAGTTTCTCCAGGCTGCTAACATTTGGAAAAGTCATCATAATGAATCTTAGCAGGAAGAAGAATATTAAAGAGTTCTTGTTAAATTTTCAATAAGTATTATTTTGGGTTTTTTTTTTTTAACATAGGGCCTTACATATGTTAAACAAGTGTTTTAACCATTGAACTATATCCCCAGCCCACTAAAAGTTTCTTTAGTGCATCTGTCTTCTGTTTTAAAATGCATTCTCTACTATTGGCATTACAATTTTACAAATAAGTTGGTTTCCTCCTAATAAATTTTCATAAATTGTGTAATATTTCTCTATAATGTAAAATGAGCCTAGAAAGGTGAAACAAAGTTTTCTTTTAAACCTGGTTCTTCAAACTGGGGATTTAGTTCAGTGGAAGGGCATGCCTAGCATGTATGAGGCCCAAAGTTCACAATGATAACAACAAAAAAGCCCACTTCTTTTTTTAAGTAGACCCTCTGAAGAAGCTTTTTTCTTTGTTAGTGTGTGGTGTTGGGATCTCTCCATGTGGTATTTGGGTTTTATTTACATTGAGACTGTATGCAGTAGCATAAAATTAGTTTTTGAATAATAAAATATTTGGCAAGCACACCATTTAAAATATTATAGATGAAAATAATATAATAAAGGGACTTCTTGGAAAATAATGGATATGGAAAATGGGAAGAGTACATTCAGAAAGACCTAGATTTGAATATCTGCTATGTCATTTACTAGTTTTATAAAAACTTAGTTTTTTGAGTCTGTTTGCTCATCTATAAATAGGACTAATAATAACTTCCCTTGCTCAGTTGTTTTAAAGGGAATGTATGTAAAACATTTATCTCAATGTGTGACATATAGTTGGTACATAGTAAATAGATATATAGAGAGATTGAATATATCTGTTGAGGTTTAGGAAGAATCTTTTAGTATTTCTGTTACCCATTTTTGGTTCATAGGTCTTGTTTAAGAAATTAAGTCATTTGGCATAAAGAGGAGTAGATAATGTTTTTACCACAAACTTTGTTACTAAAGATTTCTGAGCAAATATAGCTCTAAGTTTAAAAATACTTTTGGAGGGGCTGCAGTTGTGGCTCAGCGGTAGAGCGCTTGCCTTGCATGTGCGAGACCCTGGGTTCGATCCTCAGCACCACATACAAAAATAAACAAGTGAAATAAAGGAGTTGTGTCGAGCTACAACTAAAAAATAATATTTTTAAAAAATACTTTTGGATATTTGGAAGAGGGCAGAAATGGGAATATAGAAAATTTAGAAATTTCTTTCTGTAAATGTTTCTCCTAGTCTAGCACCATACTTGAAAGCGCATCAACTGTATTATTGGACAGCATCAAAAATTTTTATTAAACTGAGAGAAGTATTGGTCTTTCTTAAGTTGTATATCACTTGTTTTATCATTTTTGTGCTTGTAAGCCTTAAAAAGAAAAACCTGATACCTGAAAGGTTCGCATTTTCCTCTATTGCATAACATTTTTAAACTTTCATTGACCTATAATGCAAACAGTAAATGTACAGCTTATAGAAAATTATTCCCATGGGAACACATGCATGAAGTCACTACACAGACCAAATTCATTATAAGTAAACTAGATATCCCATTTATGTCTGCTCCAAATCTTACCTCTTTATAAAACTAGTAGTTGCTATTATAGCGTAGATTAGTTTTGCCAGTTTTTGAACAGTATGTGTATTCCTTGGTATCCCATTTACTTTATAAAATATTATGATTGTGATTCAACTTATGTTGTTGCACATAGCTGTAGATCATTCTTTCATTGCTGTATAGTACTCTGTTATATAAATCCAGTGTTCAGTCCCGCCCCCATCCTTCAGTGGTTGCCAGAAACCAAATATTATATTCACTATGTTTTTTCCTAAACATACATACTTATGAGAATGTCTAATTGGGGGAATGTGGCTCGGTGGTAGAGGTCTTGTCTACCATGTACAAAGCATTGGATTCAATCCCCACCACCACAAAAACAAAAAAGTCTAATTGTCACATGAAGAGATTAACAACAATAACTAACAATAAAATAAAAGAATGATAATAATATTAAAGTTATAATAAAAAGTTGCAAACAACATAAACACTATTTTATATTATAAAAGTTATAAAGTTGTAATAAAAGTCATTTGAATGTAGTCTCTCTCAAAGTATCTTGTACCGTACTCACCTTTCTTGTAATGATGAGAGATGATAACAGTGCCCATGTGATGAGATGAAGTGAGCTAGTGCTAGACACATTTGACCTTCTAACAATATGTCAAAAGAATCATCTGTTTTGGGTAATCATGGATCATCAAGTCATAATTATGTCAAAGTGTGGCTGCGGAGGTTGCAGTCCTTTAGAAAGGTGCCTTTAATGCTGTGATCCATCCAAGGATCATAATCCCTAATTTTGTCCTTTAATGTTTGTGCAATTTGAAACACTTGAGCAAATTTCAGTAATGGCCATATTGCTGATTCTGCTTCCATTTCATCATCGTCCTCTTCCTCTTGTAGGTGATTCAACAAGTTCTTCCTCATTTGTTAATACTTCTTCGTAGTCTTCACTGTTTCCACTTTTTCACCAAACACATTGACAAATCCTTCTCCACCAACTTGTCTTTACCACATGAATGCTTTTCCTAACTTCTTCATCAATCCCTGAAAAGCCTTTAAAATCATTTACAATTTCACTCTATCATTTCTTCCAGCAAACGTGTAGTTTCTGGCTTTTACTCATTTATTACAGCTTTGATGAATGTTGTAATATCAGCAATAGCAAATGATTCTCAGGACTGTAGTATGTCTAAAGTAAAGTCTGCATCAATTGCTGATCAAATACCAGATGGGGGTTTGTGGCCTTGGGAAACCAAATAATGCCTTAGGGAAGGCCCTGAAACAATGAGGTAAAAACACAACTGTGACATTTCCATTTTCATGGCAAACAAATTCAGAATAATCAGGTGCATTGTCTTTTATTTATAGGATTTTAAAATTCCAACCTGTTCTTTTCCAAGCTTTTTTTTTTTAACTTCTAAGATGAAATGTCAATGAAACCATCCCATAAACAAGATGTCTGCTACCCATGCTTTTTGATTATGCTGCAAGAACAAGGACAGATAACTTCTGCTTTCTTTTTGAGAGTAGGTAGTTTCTTGGCTGTATACGTTGAACCTGGCTTTATTATACGCCCTGCAGCATTGCCACATAGTACCAGAGTTATCTGTCCTTCCATGTTTTATGCACTGGTGCCACTTGTGCACTTTTATGAATGTAGATTCTGTTGGGCATCTTTTTTCAAAAGAGGCCTGTTTCATAACAATTTTAAACTTGCTTTTAATAGGATCACAAAGGTGATACTATTTCAGCTCTGCTGGAAATGTGGCAGCAGATTTCTTCATTAACAGATGCACCCTCTCCAGTAACTTTTATATTTGTTAATCCAAATTATTCTTGAATCTGTCCTCCCTTTATTTATAGTAAATGGCTTGGTCTCATTTGTTTTAGGAGATCCCTTGCTGAAATCATCGAATAGGCTGCATATTCTATAGCACAATAAATTGCTCTCAGTAAGAACACATTTTCTGTTTATTTCTTCTAATCACAAGCCTTTTTCATCTTAACTAAGCAGTTACATGCTCTGTGGCTGTACCTTTTGCAGTTTGTGGTATGACAGCAAAACTAGTGTGAATTCCATTTTTTATTTGTAATTTTGCAAATAAGATTTGTTCTTATTATAGATCTTAGCAATTTCAGCACAGAGTAATTTTTTTTTTAAGTTGAGAATTTTCACCTTTTCACTTAAAAGTACTTTGCAGTTTCTCTTTGTCTTAAACTGAATTGCTAGTGTTACTACTCTTACACTTTAGGATCATTATTATTAAGTAAAATAAGGGTTACTTGATAACAACACTGCAGTACCACCACAGTTGATTTCATAACCAAGAGGCTACCAAGTGACTACGAGGCTAGGGTAGCATATATAATCTGGATATGCCAGAAAGGGGGATAATTCACATACTATGCTGAATAGAGCAGAATCATACTACTTAGAACAGTGCACAATTTAAAACTTACCATTTCTTTATTTCTGAAAATTTCCATTTAATATTTTTAGACCATGACTGATCACAGGTAACTGACATCATGGATAAGAGGGACTACCACAATTTTTTTTATATCAATGGAAATTTTGGATGTTTCTAGTTTGGGGCTATTATGAAATGTGCTGTAATTAAATTTCTTATATATGTCGTCTAATGTGCATACAGTTCTGAAGTATATGTGTCACTAGGTCATAGAATATGTACATATGCAATTACATTAGATAATGACAGTTTTTCAAACTGATTTACTGCTGTTTGAGGGTTCCTTTACTTTTTTCTTTGCTGTTGTTATTTTTAGCCATTCTCATACTATCGCTTGATGGTTATAGTACATTTATTTGATTAACGAATCAAATACTTTCATGTTCATTGCTTGACCATTTGGAGAGTCGTTTGTGAAGTACCTGTTGAAGTCTTTTTTTCCATTTACCTATTAAAGTGTCTCAGTTTTTAAAAATTGATTTGTAGGACTTCTTTATCAGTTAGTGTGTATTACAAATATTTTTCACTCTGAAACTTGCCCTTTCAATTTCTTGACTCCAGTTTTTTAATTGTTCCCTGTAGTAACATCTTTTTTAATTTTTTTTTTCTTAATTGCTAGGTGAATGCTCTACTGTTGAGCCACAACCCTAACCCCCTCAGTAGTAACATCTTTATGAAATCTTTATCTTCTAGATGCTTTATTGTTTTTCATTTCATATTTAGATCTACAATTCATCTGGAAATGAATTTGTTTCTTTGTTTTTGTACTAAGAAGTATGGATCAGATGTCATTTTTTTCCCATTTGGATATCCAGTTTATTCAGTAGCATGTATTAAAATGAGTCTCCTGGGCTGGGGTTGTAGTTCAGTGGTAGAGTGTTTGCCTCTCACATATCAGGCACTGGGTTCAATTCTCAGCACCACATAAAAATAAAATAGAGCCATTGTGTCCACCTACAACCAAAAAAAAAAAATGTTTTTAAAGAAATGAGTTCCCACTTCTCTACAGCTATAGTTTGAACTTTGTCAAAAATAAAATGTTTATAAAATGTGTGGGTAAATTGGTCTATTTCTCTTCTTGAGCTAATACCATGCTAATTAGGTTAGCTGTATAATAAGTTTTGATATCTGTATGATAAATCCCTCCATCTAATTCTTTATTAAGTTTTCCCTGACCATTCTTCTCTTTTTCTTTCCTTATAAATTTTAAAATCAGTTTACCACAGTACTGATTGGGAAGGGGACTGTTAGGACTTTTATCGGGGTTACATCTAATGTGTATGTAAATCAGTTTGAAGAGAATTGACATCTTTACATTATAGACTTCAACTTGTGAATGTAGTATGACTTTCCTTTTTTAAAAATCTGCTTTAATGGGCTTGGGGTTGTGGCTCAGCAGTAGAGCACTCGCCTAGCACATGTGAGGTACTAGGTTCGATCCTCAGCACCACATAAAAATAAATAAGTAAAATAAAGGTATTGTGTCCAACTACAACTAAAGAAATTTTTTAAAAAATCTGCTCTAACATTGTTCAGTAAACATAGATTTTTGCACAGGGGTCTTAAACAGGTTGCATTTCATTTATTCCTAAGTATCTGGTTCCTATAAGCTATTGTAAATGGTATCATTAAAATTTTTTTTTCCCAAGGGCTGAGTTGTTGCTCAGAGGTAGAGTGCTTGCCTAGCATGTATGAGGGCCTGGATTTGAGTCTCAGTGCCACATAAAAATAAAAAAAAATGAAGGTGTTGTGTCCATCTACAAGCAAAAAATATATATTTTTAAAGTTTTTTTTCCTGACTTTTATGTAGAAAATCAATTTTCATGTATTGACCCTATAGCCAGTAACTTTGCTAGACTACTTAAATTATGAGTTCTAATAACTTATAATAATTAGTAGTTCTAATAACTTATCTGTAGTGCTGGAATGTAGTTCAGTAATACAGTGCTTTCATACCATACATGAAGCCCTAGGTTCAATCCCCAGTACTTTTATCCCTCCTGCATTCTAGCCCTTATTCCCAGTATTTCTTTCTCTTTGTTTTCTCTTTAGCACATTTTTAAAATTTTTAAAAATTTTTTCCCAACTAGTTATACATGACAGTAGAATGCATTTTGACACATTGTACACAAAACCTGGTATTTCTGTATCTTATTTTGCTGGCTTAGACATCCAGAACATTGGGTTTCCTTGTCTCATTCTGTCTCAGAAGCAACACTTTAAATTTTTACCACTAAGTATGTTTGTTTTAAACTTTCTTATAGATTCCTCTTTATCTGCTCATAGATGTTTCCTTCTATTTCTAATTCACTAATTATTATCACAAATGGATGTTGGATTTTAATAGGTTAATTTCATGTGTCTTTTAAGATGATCATTTGAGAGATTTTTATTATAATTAATTGCATTTATTTTTCTTACAGTCTTATAATAAAACCAATTTGATTGAGCTCTGATAACCTTTTTTTTTAATATTTGTTTTAGTTGTAGGTGGACACAATAACCTTTATTTTATTTTTATGTGGTTTGATTTCTATTGTCTGCCATTTTTAGAAGCAAAACTTTCCATAATATATTTTATAATATTATAAAAATATTGCTAATTTTAGTCTTTTAACCCCACATTTGTATAGCACTTAGTAGTTTACAGAATCCTTTTGTATACATTTTCTTATTTAATATAGGAGGTATTAATGTCCCTATTATACTGATCAGAAAACTTTCAAAGAAACTAGATGATTCAAGTAAGCAATGACTCAAGCTGAGCTGATACTCAGATTTAAATCTTTTAAATCTCAAGTCTGGTTTATTTCCTTTTATATCACAGGTGTAATCTTTTGTGCTTAATGTTTATTGTTCTACTTATAAAAGAATGTAAATTCATTATTCTGTTTTGTTTTGTTGAAAAATGTGATCCAGCATGATCCCACCTTTCCACTGATAGATTCAAGTTCCCAGAACCAGATTAGAAAACGCATCGTTCTTGAAAAATTGAGCAAAGTGTAAGTATGTAATTGTCATCCCAGTTTGTAATATTTTAAAATTAACAATATTATGATTTCATAATTTGCAAATGTTACCCTTCAATTTTAAACATTAAAAATTTTTTTCTTTTAATATTTTTTTAGTTGTCAATAGATCTTTATTTTATTTATTTATATACGGTGCTGAGAATTGAACCCAGAGCCTCACACGTGCTAGGCAAGCGCTCTACCACTGAGCCACAACCCCAGTCCCAATTTTAAACATTTCGAAAAATAGTAAGAAAAGTTTACATGAATGTCTGCACTTGAAATTTTTATATTGTTAAGCTACTGTATCCCAGAGATACTAAATTTTGTGTTGAAAACAGACCACCACCATAAAGAGGAAGGTTGAGATTCTAAACTACCTCACTCCCTCTTAATAATCCAGTGAAGTCAGGGAAAAACTATCAAAGCTAGATCATTTAAATACTGATTTGTGGTAAATGTGTCATGTTAGTTTTATATGTGAATAAGAGGTTGTTAAAGTTTTAAAGGTCTGTTAACTCACTCTACCTACATATTCATAGAATCATTTCACACTCAGCAACGTTTTTTGTTTAGCTCAACTCTGCACTTTAAGCTTCCTGTAGCAGAAATGATTGTTCTTATAATTAGCCCAATCATAAATGACGCAAAAATTGCTATTTTGGTTTATTGGTGAAAAGGGGCTTGAAAATCTTTTTTTCCAGAGATGTGAGGGCTGTCTTGAACTTTTCAGCCTGCACTTTTTTTTTTTTTTTTTTAGCAGAAAACATGGGAAAGTGTGTCAATCATTGTTTCAGGACTTGTAAATAAAGAGAAGTCTTAATTTTGTAGTAGTTTGAAAATAAGAAAAATGTCATAATGTTTTGAGCAATTGAGATATAAAATATTTACTTGTGATATAATGGAAAATAAGATAATTTTGCTTTAAAGTATGTACTTCTCAAACCACCCTTGAAATCCTTTTTTATTTGCTTTGTATCTTGACTTGGTAATGTACAAAAAACAGAATCAAGAGGAACTACTATAATTTTTACATTTTAAATAAATGTTTAGGGGCTGAGATTGTAGCTCAGTAGTAGAGTGCTTGCCTAGCACATGTGAGGTACTGGGTTCAATTCTCAGCACTACATATAAATAAATAAAATGTCCATCAACATCTAAAAAAATTTTTTTAAATAAATGTTTAATATTTATGCAGTATCTGCTGTGGGTAGGCCCTTCATATACAATAAATCCATTAATAGTTTTGCCTTTTATATGATCTTCATACTTGTTTATTTGCTTCTATTAAATATTAATATAGAAGGCAGTATAAAAGACTACCTTATTCACAATACAGAAGATATTAGACTTTAGTTACAAAGATTTTGAAAGTAGGGTTAGATTATCCGTACTGTTGTGTATTTAGTAGATAAGAATTTATGTAGAAATAGTTTTCTAGACTTTAGAATATACAGTTTTAAATTTGAGACCATACAGACATGTCATCGAAGCAGTCTACACATCCTGGGTTTTGGCTAAATCAGAGGATGCCAGAAAGAACTTTGCTAGAAATCCATATTACTGATACTGGCACAAGAATTGAATTGAGAAGGGATGGAATCACTTAAGAGAAAGCACAAAGAGCATTGAAAACAAAACTAATTATGGTGGCATGGGTTTTTGAGGTCATTTACAAGTTTATGAAAGCTGTTTGTCATTTTCTCATTATAAAAGTAACACCTTTTTTGATCTCTGATTTGAACAAACCAATTGTAAAAAGACATTTTTAATAACCAGAGGGAAATAAATTTGTACTGGATATTAGATGTTATAAAGCAATTATTTGGTTGAGTATGATAATTTTAAATACAAAGAAGTTATGTTTGTGTTTAGAGAAACAAATAGAAATAGAAATCCAATGATATGATGTCAGGAATTTGGTTTACTTTAAAATATTACTATAAAAAAAGGAAGGAAAATGAAACCAATATAGGAAAATATTGAAATGTTGAATCTGGAAATAGATAATGAGGTTATTTATTCTGGAACATTTTTGAAACTTTCATAATTTTTTTTTTAAAAGATAGTGCTTGTTGGAGAATAGTTAGCAATACAGAAATAGTATAAAGGAGGAAATGAAAGTCAAATCACCTGTAATCCCACCACTTGGTGATAACCTTTATTAATATTTTGATGTTTATATATATTATATGTATGGTGTATGTATGTTCATTCCCTTTGGTTCCCTCTGTTGTAGGAACATAGAAAGAATGAAATGTTTGATATGTAATAGGTATTATATATAGAAGCATTACATGTTTTTATAAAAATGGGATAATACTATGAATGCATTTTTTATTTAACATTTATCATATCTTTCCACATTTTCAAAAACAGAGCATAGCCAGGTACAGTGGTGCACACCTGTTATTCTAACTACTCAGGAGGTTGAATCAGTAGGATGGCAAGTCTGAGGTCAGCCTGGGCAGCTTAGACCCTATCTCAAAATAAATAAATAAATATTTTTTAAAAGAAACAATAATAGATTGGCATTATTTTCAGGGTTTTGTTACAATTTATTAAATGTGTATATCATAATTTATTTAATCAATCACCTTGTTTCTGGTTTTTCACTACTAAAATTATTTCTATAGCAAGCATTTTTTATTTGATTATTTCCTTAGGATAAATTTTTGTCATAATAAAACTATTGACTCAAAGAATATTCACAATTAAAATGTTAAGATATATTGCCAAATTGCTCTTCAGGTAAGAAAAACTAAGGACAAAATACAGATGGCCAAAATGATTTTGCATTTTAGTGCTTTACACTATAGCGTAGACTATAAAGTAGAGCATAGAGTTACTATGAAATGTTTCCTTTTGACTTCTTACCAGTCAATCTAGTTTAACTGTTTAAAATCATGACCACTTCCACCTAAGTTCCATTATTGCCTTCGGCAGATCCAGAGTTAAACATGACCCAATGTATGTTTCTATATAATTAAATTAAATTATAAAAGAAATGTAACTTTTTTTTTTACATTTCAGATTGCCTGGACTTTTGGGTCCTCTTCAGATTACATTAGGAGATATTTATACTCAACTTAAAAATCTTATCCGAACTTTCAGGTTAGTGTTATTATTTTAATTTTTCCTTCTGAGTTATTTTTACTTTATTGATTACTACAGAATCCATTAGACTAAGACATGTTTTCTTCTCATCTAAACATTACTTCTTGTTGTCTATTTAATGCAACTCCTTACTTGTATAAATCTTGGTATATTCACTTTAGATAAGAATAATGTAAAATTAAGAAGGAAAGTTTTTTTAAATATATTTTTTATATATTTATTTTATTTTATTTATTTGTATGTGGTGCTGAGGATCAAACCTAGGGCCTCACATGTGCTAAGCAAGTACCCCACCACTGAGCCATAAACCCTTCCCAGAAGGAAAGTTTTGTCTATGACACAAAACTAGTAACATTGTTGATTTTAGAGGAATAGTAAATATGTATCAGATTACCATCCCTGTGCTAGGCACTGTGGGCAAAAGAAGCATAATGCCCCCCCTCAGGGAAGAACTTGCCTATGAGAAGGAAAGATGAGTACAGTGAACAATAAAAGATAGTGGGTAACAGTATTGTATTGAGTAGAACTGACTTGAGGTACTTAGAACTATAAAGAAAGGGAGACTAGAGAATTTATATCAATTGTGAAGTTCTGGTTGATAAACATGCACATACGGTCATTTTATTTAATTTTTTCTAGGATGTTTATATTTGAAAGTGAGTGTTTGGGTAATAATAAGTCTGACATGATTTGTCTAGTAGTTACTGATTTTGTTACTCATGAATTGTGGAAACGATCCAATTTCAAAATTATTAACACACAAATTCAGGGATACCAGTAATCATCCTCTTATTGGCCTATACTTAAGATTGACTGATTAAATGCCACGAAGAGGGTTTAAGTCAAATAATATGGTCAAAGTGGAACTTTTCTGCATCCTTCTTAGTGATTGAAGAAAGTCAGTAGATTTTTTAGGTATTCTGTCTTATACCTATCACAGAACCATGCATCCTAATGAAGGAATAACTGTGCTAAAAGTAAAAGTTTGATAAAGTTTGACTAGATATATACAGTGTGGAAACACTGAAGTTTATGATTCCTTCAGGATTTATCAGGGAGTGAATATTACACTAACATGAAGTTTAACTGAGGAAAAATGAAGATCAGGGGAGTTATTCTTTGTTTTCTTCCTTTTTTAAATATTTATTTTCTGTAGTTGGACACAATTCTTTTCTTTTCTTTTATTTATTTATTTTTATGTGGTATTGAGGATCAAACCCAGGGCCTTGCACATGCAAGGTGAGCGCTCTACCACTGAACCACAACCCCAGCCCCTGTTTCCTTCCTTTTTTAAAGGACTTGTCATTCAACTTCCTGCAGACAATGTAATAATTACTATGCTGGACAAATTGGTGAAGTGACTGAAGACTCATCAGAAGAGATATTAGAGTCCTCTTGAATTACACTTTTCTTTTTTGTTTTGCCCTGCTTATTTAGGAAAGAATAAATAGCATACATTTTCTAGTGATTTATTTTTTCTTTAGATCTAATTGGATAGCATCTTTTGAAAAAAAGTATTCCAAAGTTCTCAGAACTTACCTGAAACACATAGGGAAAAAAATGTTAAACTACCTTAGATACTTCTAATCAGTGAGATTTGCTCAAATTTGAAGGCTGATTATATTTGCCTGGGGAGCCTTAAATAATTGATACCCATGTCCTATTTTTTTCATTGTCAACGCCAAGCATTCTTGATGCCTTCAGTATTTTCAAATTTTATTGGAGTACAAGTTTTCAAAATAATTTATAATTATCTTCCGTATTTCTGTAGTATCTGTTGTGATTTTTTTTTTCTTCATGGACAGTAGTAATTTGAGTTTTCTCCCTCCTTTTCTTCATTAGCATGGCTAAGGGTCTGCTAATTTTGTTTGTTTTTTCAAAGAACCAACTTTTTGTTTTGTCAATTTTTTCAATTGTTTCTTTTGCTTCAATTTCATTGATTTCAGCTCTAATTTTAATTATTTCCTGTCTTCTGCTTTTGGTGCAGATTTGTTCTTCTGTTTCTAGGGATTTGAAATGTAATGCTAAATCATTTATCTGTTGACTTTTTCTTCTTTGAAGGAATGAACTCCATGCAGTGAACTTTCCTCTTAGAACTACCTTCATAGTGCCCCAGAGATTTTGATGTGTTGTGTCTGTCTTCTCATTCACCTCTTAAAAATTTTTTAATCTCCTTTTGGATGTTTTCTGAACCCATTGTTCATTCAGTAGCATATTATTTAGTCTCCAGGTGTTGGAGTATCTTTTATTTCTTATTTTATCATTGATTTCTAATTTCATTCCATTATGATCTGATAGAATGCAGGATAGTACCTTAACTTTTTTTTATATTTGCTGAGTTGCTTTGTGGCATAATATAGTCTGTTTTAGAGAAGTATCTATGTGCTGCTGAGAAGAAAGTGTATTCGCTTGTTGAAGGATGAAATATTCTATATATGTCAGTTAAGTCTAAGTTATTGATTCTGTTATTGAATCTTTGTTCTGCTTTTGTTTGCAAGATCTAACCAGTGGTGAAAGAGGTGTGTTAAAGTCACCCAAAATTATTGTGTTGTGGTCTGTTTGACTATTGAACTTGAGAAGAGTTTGTTTGATGAGCATAGATGCTTCATTGTTTGGGGCATATGCATTTATAATTGTTAAGTCCTGTTGATATATGATTCTTTTGAGCAGTATGTAGTGTCCTTCTCTATCCCTTTTGATTAACTTTAGCTTGAAGTCTACTTTATTTGATATGAGGATGGAAACTCCTTCTTGCTTCCACAGTCCATGTGAGTGGTATGATTTTTCCCAATCTTTTACCTTCAGTCTGTGTTTGTCTTTTCCTATGAGATGAGTCTCTTGGAAGCAGCAAATTATTGGCTGTTTTTTTTTTTTTTAATCCAGTCTGCTGGTCTATGTCTTTTGATTGATTGGTGAGTTTAGGCTATTAACATTCAGAGTTATTATTTGATTTGTATTCCTAGCCATTTTTGTTTATTTTTGGTATTTAACTTAACTTGGTTTCTCCTCTGATTAGTTTTTCCTTTAGTGTAATACCTCCCTCTGCTGATTTTCATCATTGTTTTTCATTTCCTCTTCATGGAATATTTTGCCGAGGATGTTCTATAGTGTAGCCTTTCTAGTTGTAAATTCTTTTGTTTATCATGGAAGGTTTTTATTTCATCATCAGATCTAAAGCTTAATTTTGCTGGATATAAGATTCTTGGTTGGCATCTATTTTCTTTCTGAGCTTGGTATATATTGTTCCATGATCTCCTGGCTTTAAGGGTCTGGGTTGAAAAATCTGCTGAGATACAAATTGGTCTTCCTCTGTACGTGATCTGATTGCTCTCTCTTGCAACTTTTTAAGATTCTATCCTTTTTCTGTATGCTATTAATTTTTATTATAATGTGTCTTGGTGTAGATCTGTTGTAATTTCGTACATTTGGTGTCCTATAAGCCTCCAGTATTTGGTTTTCCAATTCATTCTTCATGCTTGGGAAATTTTCTGATATTATCTCATTGAAGAGATTGTACATTCCTTTGGTTTGAAACTCTGTGCCTTTCTCTATCCCAGTAACTCTTAGATTTGGTCTTTTGATGCTATCCCATAATTCTTGAATATTCTATTCATGGTTTCTTACTATCTTCACTGTGTGGTCACCTTTTTTTTCCAGATTGTATACTTTGTCTACATTATCTAACATTCTTTCTTCCAAGTGATCTAGTCTGTTGGTTATGCTTTCTATTTAGTTTTTTATTTGGTTTATTGTTTCCTTCATTTCACAGATTTCTGACTTTTTTTTTTTCAGAGTCTCTGTCTCTTTCTTGAAGTAATTTTTGCTACCTGTGTTTGTTCTCTTATCTCTTTGTTGGAGTGATCAATTTTTGCCTGTATTTGCTCATTTAGGTCATTCTTCAATTCACAGATCATTTTAATTATGAACCTTCTGAACTCCTTCTCTGACATTTCGTCAACTTTGCTGGCCATGGTTTCTGTTATTGTAGTATCCTGGTTTTTTGAGAGCACTCTCCTCCCTTGTTTTTTCATGTTGTCTGTGTGTCTTCCTTTCTTGCAGTGTGAATCTGAGATATTATAGTTTCTACCCTATATTTTTGTAGTACCCATGCAGATTGTCTGTACCTCACCTTCATGTTAGGCTTCCACACCTTGCTGGTGTCCCTCAGTGTATGCTACTGCTACTAAAGATGGTTGCAGTAGTAACCCAGGTAACTCGAGATAATAGTGGAGGTACCCTAAGATGGATACAAAGTCTTACAAAGATGGAGTTGAAAGGGTGGGCCTTACACTGTCTTTGGGTTGCCTGTTCTGAGATGCAGTTGATTTTAGGCCCTGTCTGTTGTCAAAAAGGTAGGGACTACTGCGTGGGGAAGGCTATGGAGATGTCTACAGAGTCCCAAGATAGAAGTGGGTTGGGTTTGGGCTCCCAGGTGGGAGTGGATGGCAAACTCGACCTACCCTGGGCCTGGGTCCCATGTATGTTGGTGGGCAGATCTGTGCCAAAGCCTGAGCTCAGGCAGGTATCTGCTAGTGGCAGGATGGACCCAGGCCTACTGTGAGCCTGGGTCCCAAGTAGGTTGATGTGGGCAGATCTGGGCTGGGCCTGGACTCCCGCAATGGTCTGTGGCCTAAAGAGGCAATCCTGTGCTAGAGCTTCCCAAGAATTTTCATTTATTTGTTTTGGCATATGACTACCAAGGTGGCAGTACTTTTTTTTTTTACTTGTTCTTTTTAGTTATATACAAATAGAATGTACTTTGACATATCATACATACATGGAGATTCTCTTGGAATCCACTGCTCCAGAGCATAATGCAGAAAAATAGGGACTAAACTTTACGAATCATTCTAGTCCGTTGGTTCTCCTACTCTGACCCTTCTGCAGCCAGTCATTTTAGAACTTCACCAAAGGACATGATAATAGTAAGATTTATATTGCAGTGATTCCTCCCAGTTATTTTTCCTTCCTACTTCCAAAGACCTCTTTGTTTTCCA